AGCATGACTAATAGATTCATTACTTCTCAATTTAGAATAATGACAATCTAATCTCATTACAATTCACTTGAAACTCAATATAACCAAGTTATCAATATCACTGTTTAGCCATGATAATCTGGATATACCTATGTCAACGGATGAAAAAAAATACCTTGAAACTTGAATTAAACTTTGTTGATAGTGGCTCTCTTGCGGCACCAGATCGCTAGACACTGTAAAGACCTTCTTGATTTCCTCTTTATAGATGTGAACTTTCTACCAACAACTTTGTTGTTCCTTCGATTTTCTTTCTTTTTTTTTGTTGTTGTTTGCAGGAGCTTTTATGCCCCCAACTCTCCTACTCTTATTCCTTTTTCTTTGAGATTGCAAGGAATTGGAATTTTACACATTCCCAAACTCTATACGATGCCCTATATCAATTTTTTTCTTGGGCTTCGCCCCCCCTCTATTTTTAAATTAGTTATTATTATTATTATTTGTTAATGACCAATACATCCTTACTAAAAATATAGGGTATTACATCCTCCCCACCTTATGAACCGAATTTAACTTAAGTACATACCTGTAGACTGAAACAAGTGGGGATACTTCGCTTGCATATCTTTTTCTAGTTCCTAAGTAGCTTCTTCGACTGTATGATTTCGCCATAAGACTTTTACGAATCAATTTCTTTTGACTGTAGTTTTCTTACTTGCCTATCAACAATTGTCGTCAGCTCCTCCTCGTAAGACAACTTCTCATCAAGCGGTATAGTTGGTGCCTTCAAGCACCTGAGATGAGTCTGATATACATTTTCTTAGCATTGAGACATGAAACATTGGATGAATAAAGGAAAACTCAGGAGGAAGTACCAAACGATAATCCACAACTCCCACTCGATCTAGTATCTCATACGGTCCTATAAACCTGGGGCTCAACTTGCCCTTTTTTCCAATCCGCATCGCACCTTTCATAAGAGAGACTCGTAGGAAGACTTTGTCTCCAATTGTGAACACTAAATATCTTCTTCTCTTATCAGCGTAAGACTTTTGTCTGCTTTGAGCTGTAAGCAATCTCTGTCTGATCAACTGGACTTTGTCCATTGCTTCTTATTCTAAGTCGGGTCCCAATAAGTTAGCCTCACCAGCTTCAAACCATCCGATAGGAGAACGACATCTTCTACCATATAATGCTTCGTATGATGCCATTTAAATACTGGACTGGAAGCTATTGTTGTAAGCAAATTCAGCTAACGTAGATAAGTGTCCCAACTACCTCCAAACTCAATAATTCAAGCTCTTAACATATCCTCCAAAATCTGTATAGTACGTTCTGACTGCCCATCTGTCTGTGGATGAAATGTAGTACTAAGATCTACTCGTGTACCCAATGCTTCTTGAAAAGATTTCCAAAAGCGTGAAGTGAACTGTGATCCTCTATTAGAGATGATGGATACTGGAACTCCGTGAAGTCGAACAATTTCATTCATAAATTTCTGTGCATACCTTACTCCTCCATATGTAGTCTTTACTGGCAAAACGTGTGCTGATTTTGTCATTCGATCTACAATTACCCACACCGAATCATAACCTCTAAGAGTTCATGGTAGACCGGTGACAAAATCCATAGTAATTCTTTCCCATTTCCACTCTGGAATCTCAATTTGTTGTAGTAGTCCTGCGGGTCGCTAATGCTCAGCTTTGACCTGATGACAAGTCAAACAACTAGAAACAAAGTTAGCAACATCTTTCTTCATACCTTCCTACCAATAAAATTGCTTTTAGGTCATGGTACATTTTTGTGGATCCAGGATGTATATTGCATTAGGTGTTGTGAGCTTCTTTAAGAATAGCATGTCGCAACCCATATACGTCTGCTACACATAGCTTGTCACCCATTCGAAGAACACTATCACTTTCAACAATCATATCCTTGCTTTTACCAGCTAAGGCCTCATCTCTGTATTTGCATAATCGTTCATCCTCATATTGGGTGGCCTTAATGCGCTCAACTAATGAAGACTTAGCCTGAGCACAAGCCAACAATGCCTCTGAATTTCCGACACCAAATCTAATACCTGTATCTTCTAGTCTCTGAATATCTTTGGCCAAGAGTCTTTTTGCAGGAGCTACATATGCCAAACTCTCCATAGATTTTTTACTCAATGCATCAGCCACCATATTGGCTTTTCCAGGATGATACAAAATAGAAAAATCATAGTCTTTAAGTAGTTCCATCCAATGACGCTGCCGAAGATTCAGATCTTTCTCCTGAAAGATATACTTCAAACTTTTATGGTCAGTATAAATCTCACAAGTTTCGCCGTATAGATAATGCCTCCAAATATTTAGAGCAAATACCACTGCAACCATCTCCAAATCATGTGTAGGATAGTTTTGCTCGTGATTTTTCAATTATCTCGAAGCATAAGTAATAACACAACCATTTTGCATGAGAACACATCCTAATCCACCCTCGAGGCATCACAGAATACTGAAAATCCTCCAAAACCTAATGGTAAGGCCAATATTGGTGCAGTTGTCCGACACATTTTGAGTTTCTGAAAGCTTTGCTCACATTCCTCCGTCCACGAAAACTTTGCATTTTCTTGTGTTATCTTAGTCAGTGCCGCTGCTATTCTAGAAAAATCCTGCACAAAACGCCTGTAATAGCCTATTAAGCCTAAAAAGATGCGAATCTTTGTAGGAGAAGTAGGCGTGGGCCATTTCTGCACGACCTCTGCCTTCTTAGGATCTACCATAATTCCATCTTTGGATACAACATGCCCCAGAAATGATACCGAGTCTAGCCAAAATTTGCACTTCGAGAACTTAGTATAAAGCCGATGTTCTCACAATGTCTGCAACACAGTCCTATGGTGATCCTCGTGTTCTCTTTGGCTACGAGAATATATCAGGATATCATCAATAAATACAATTACAAATCTATCTAGAAATGACTTGAACACCCTATTCATTAAATCCATGAATGCCACTGGAGCATTAGTTAGTCCGAAAGGCATCACAAGAAACTCATAGTGCCCATATCGAGTTCTGAAAGCAGTCTTAGAAATATCTTCATCTTTGATTCTAAGTTGACGATAACCAGAACGGAGGTCAATCTTTGAAAAGTGGGCAGCTCCTTGTAACTGATCAACCATGTCATCTATGCGAGGCAAAGTATATTTATTTCATATTGTTATCTTGTTCAATTTTTTGAAGTCAATGCACATTCTCAGGGACCCGTCTTTCTTCTTTACAAACAGTACTGGTGCACCCCATGGTAATACACTAGGTCTAATAAAACCCTTATCTAACAAATCTTGTAACTATTGCTTTAGCTCCCTCAACTCTGCTGGTGCCATTCGATATGGGGGTATCGAAATGGGCTGCATGTCAAGTAGCAAATAAATACCAACGTCTATTTCTCATACTGGAGGCAATCCTAATAAATGCTCAGGAAATACATCAAAAAATTCTCTCACTAGTGGTACATTTTCTATACTAATTGTTTCCTTTCTTGTGTCATTTACAATAGCTAAGAGACCCATGCAACCTTTCTTTAGAAATCATTGAGCTTTCATAAAAGATACAACTTTGCAAATCTCTGGAACCTCACTCCCTCTTAGAATAAAACTGGGTTCATTTGGTATCTCAAACTTAACTATCTTTGCATGACAATCGACTATAGCATAGAAAGAAGATAACCAATCCATTCCCATAAACATGTCAAAGTCAATCATATCAAGTACAATAAGGTCAGCTAGAGTATCTCTACCCTCAACCCGAATCTGACAAGCACGATACATGTATTCAGCTAACAGAGACTCTTCAACAAGAGTAAAAACTAGAAAAGGATCATTCAATAGCTCAGGCTATCCACTAAACCTCAAAGCAAAGTACGAGGACACGTAGGAGTGAGTAGATCCCGGATCAATCAACGCAAGTGCATCAAATGAACAGACAGAAAGAATTTCTATAACCACAACATTCGAGGTCTGAGCATCCTGTCTAGTAAATGCAAAAACTCTAGCCTGACCTCTACCAACATTCCCTTGTCCTTGATTCATAGCAGTACGGTCTCCAGCACATCGACCTCTATTTCCTGTACCTGTAGCACCTGACATATTACGAGTAGTCTGAGTCGGTGCAGCTGACTGAATAGAAGCCTGGTTGAAATTTCTCGGAGGCTGATGGCAATCCCTCAAGCGATGTCCCAACTGGCTACACCGAAATTACTCTTCAGTTAGAACACGACATTGGCCCAAATGTGATCTACCACAGGTCTGGCAGACTGCAGTAGTGGTATATATCTGCCCATAATTACAATGTCCAGATGTTGATGGTCCTCTAGTACCCTGTCTGTAATGTGGTCTATATGTGGACTGAGAAGACATGTGTGTCCCTGTCTGAGAACCCTGTTGTTGTTGTCCCTAATTTCCTGCTATTCTATTTTTACTAAAACTGCCACTGAAAGCCCCTCCTGTCTTGGCCTTCTTACGTAAATCACTAGCTACATGTTCATCACGTCCCTTGTTTTCAATCTTTCTAGCAAGGTCGACTACATCAGAGTAGAATAAAGTTTTCATCTGTGGGGCTACTACAGTGTATAGACGACCAACCAACCCATCAACAAACCTCTGAACTCGAGCTTCTTCGGTAGGCACTAAGTAAGGAGCATATATAGCTAGCTTACAAAACTTAGTGTTATATGTTGACACATCCATATCTGGAGTCTGAACCAATCCCTCAAAGTCTCTAGCATATTTTTGCATCAGGCTATCCGAAAGAAAATGATTCTTGAACAACTTAGTGAACTCATCCCATGTCAGTGGTACTGCTCCTGCTGGCCTTCTTAGCAATACAGTTTCATACCATATGTTGGCCATATCCTCTAGTTTGTATGCTGCGAGCTCCACGGCTTTCTAACTAGAACATCCAAGTGCACGTAATGCCTTGAGTGTCCCATCCAAGAGGATCTGCTGAATTATCGGAACCTGTAAATTTTGGTGATTTCAATTTCAGAAACTCTTGTAGGGATACTTCCTTATTTCCAAAAGTCTGAGTCTGTACAAGTGCTTGTGTCTGTAAAATAGCCGGAGAAGCTAAACTTCCTCCCTAAGTAGGCACCAATGCCTCTAACACATTCAATAACCTTGCCACTGCATCTGCAGGTAAGGCAACAGTAGGTACAACAGTTGGCACTGGTGGTGGAGTGTTCTGAACTCCCTGCTTTTTCACTTGATCTGGCATAGCAGCTTGAGGTTGACCCGTGTTTCCAACTTCAAGTTGAGGAGCAATCTGTCTTAGTTTGATAAACCCCAACATGACCGCCACCCCGGGTAGCACCACGTCCAGCAGACGAAGGTGTGTATGTCCTATCCATCTGCGAAAGAAATATTCCAAAGTCAATCTTAAGTTATCTCAACGCATGATCAAAGAATGAAAGAAGGGAAAACATTCCTAGATGTTCAGTAGCCTCAAGATCATAAGTATGGGCGCCTACATACCCATGAACAAGACTCTACTAAATATTGCCCCATGACTCGGGACATCAAGCCTAAGCTCTGATACCAACTTTGTCACGACCCAATTTAGGATCGTGACCGGCTCTTAGGAGCAAGTGCCCCCAAGTAAGCCTCATCGGTATTTTACAGAAAATCGGCCAGAGTTTCCCCTATTTTTGGACCATCCCAAAATTTTTCCTGTCTCAAATTCAGCAACCAAACATCCTAATAGCAATTCAAATGATAATGACTTTATCTATTAACCAAAATAAGTATCTACCTTTAACAGTCCACCCACTAACAACTAGGAATACCACTTTATCTCAAAAATTTTATAAGAATGAGGGTTACTCAACATAAGTCTATAATAACAAAGACTACTCAAGACACTAAAAGAATGACTATGGAGCGACTCTAAGAGTTCAAAGAAAAGACCATAACAATTGATAAAATTTCCGCCCACGCGAACAAGTGCGAGGCTCACCAAGAATTCTCAACATGTGCGCTCTAATTAACGAAATCCTCGCCTGCGTCAACTGCTGTCTCTGGAAAAAAAATTAGTGGGGAATGAGTTGCTAGCTCAGTGAGTAATAAAACTTAACCTCAACCGTTTTTATTGCGGACAAGTCAGAAAACATGCTAGTATATTAAACAGAAATTATCATAAAAATGCCCCTTTCAGAAACTATAAAAAAAATAATTTTCAGTATCATCATGTTTTTCTTATAGTATAATACGATTGACAATTCCGTAATAAGCTCGGTAACCACTATATAATATCAATATTCATATTTTGAGAGGTTTCAATGAACAGATCATGTAATCGGTATAACTGTGGACTTCTTCGCAAGAAGTCAAATATAACGGTAGTCCCTACTCGAGGGAAAATCGGTAATGGTATGCTAGTTCTACCTTCCCACTAGCAAGGGCTATAACTGTACTTTGTAATCGGGAAATACAAGGTGCACCAGGTCTAACGAACCCGCCGTTAGCTACGGGATCCTTCAAAGTCTACTCCCATTTATACTTGTCTATGTATCCGTATATACTCATAGGAAAATATGTTAAAACAATATAGGGTATTTCAGTTCTTATCAAATCATGTAATTTCATTTCGACAACAGTAAATTCAAGTAACGGTAAAATATATCTAGTGACAACAAGAATATTTAAAACAACGGTAATCATGTCAAATAACTATTTCTGCATCGTATCGAGTAAAAGACTTGTCCCACATGCAACTAAAATTAATCGGTAACATATTCATATTAAAAATCATGTATAAATCATGCAGGTTATGAAAACATAAATTGCGGTAAGATTACTACTCACAGTAATCGAGCCGAAATACAAACTTGTCACTTGCGATCACTTCGTGTGACTTTCTTTACGACCTATACTGTTACAAAATTAATCTAGGTATAAGCTTCGTGAACTACCAATATAATCGATTCCAGATCTTGTCAAATCTAATCCNCTGCTTTGCAAGACCTCAGAGACTCTCCACTAAGTTAGCATGACTAATGGATTCATTACTTCTCAATTTAGAATAATGACAATCTAATCTTATTACAATTCACTCGAAACTCAATATAACCAAGTTATCAATATCACTGTTTAGCCATGATAATCTGGATATACCTATGTCAACGGATGAAAAAAATACCTTGAAACTTGAATTAAACTCCGCTGATAGTGGCTCTCTTGTTGTACCAGATCGCTAGACACTGTAAAGACCTTCTTGATTTCCTCATTATAGATGTGAACTTGCTACCAACAACTTTGTTGTTCCTTCGATTTTCTTTTTTCTTTTTTGTTTGCAGGAGCTTTAATGCCCCAACTCTCCTACTCTTATTCCTTTTTCTTTGAGATTGCAAGGAATTGGAATTTTACCCATTCCTAAACTCTATACGATGCTCTATATCAATTTTTTTCTTGGGCTTCGCCCCCCCCCCCCCCCC